ACATGGCATAACAATCTCACTACTATTGTTATGATTTGTAGGAAAGTCAGATCTGTTCAGACTGAGGATGAAATATTTTTTTTTTTCCCAAGCGGTGAAGGGCCACACTTGGCCTGCTTTCTCCTACCCTTTCAAATCTGTTCAAGCAGCACAAAAGGAGATATCCAGACCTGCTACAGCAACACTTCAAGCAAATCCCAATTTTTATAACTTCCTCCTCACTCAAACGCTAACTCATACCCAGGTAAACAATCAAGCAGACTGTCTTCTGTTTCCAGCTTCTCTTTTTTTCCCCCCAATGTAGGTAGTCCAGGAGGTAAAAGTATGATATTAACTTCAATCCTAAGCTCTTACTTAAGCACAAGCATAGTTAGCTGCACTCACATGCTATTCACTTAGAGTCATCTGAATATGAAGCAACCATTTATTTTCTTAGTTACTTTTGCAATTATAGGAGATAATCAACAGTAGAGCTACTGGGATTCAAAAGTACACAAAGGGGGGGGGGGAAACCCAAGTTCCAAGAAAGGTGAAAGAAACATCTAGGAAATCAAATAACCAGTTCTTTTGGGGCTCATACAGTTTAGCTGAAAAGTTACAGGGTGTAATACAGCAAGGCAGTTCCCAATTCACAGTCATGAGTTCTTAGTACAGCCCTCCCACACCAGCATGCCTGCCCTCTGGGCTTCATTGTGGCTATTTTGAACCAGAAGAATTTTGGTTTTGATTTTCCCAGACACAGATCCCATGAATTAATGAGTTGGAGAAAAATTATGAGTTTATATTTCAAACTTGCCATAAGAAAAGTGCACATATAAAGCTTCAAATTATCTTATTTAGCTGGCTTTGTGTGAGATTTAAATTAAATAAATACTTTATTATCGTCACAACCAACTAATAGGGCAGATCCAGTTGCAGTTTGAGATTTTTTCCCTTCACATGCTTCTTCTGACATGTGCAGGACATGTTATACATGAAGCAAAAAATTTCCATTACCACAGAGGACTGAAGACCCAGGATCCACAATAAGAACCATCAACAAAAGGTTACCAACACTGCCTACACAAGATTTATCACCTATATGTTTAAAGACTCCATGTTTATCCAAAACAGATTATGGTAGCTGCAACTTAAAGAAGAGGAAAAGCTGTACTGGTAACTTCAGCTCAGTTGTTTAGCATTTGTCCACTAACTTCACAAAAAACTACAGGTTCTTATGAAGGCCACAACAGAACTTTTAGAGTAGAAACAAACATTTTCCTCAAACCATAGTTCCTTTAAGTAGTTTCTGTAATGATCTATATACTCCTCCTGGAGACCAGGTGCTTGGTGTATATTAAACTTGTCAACTAAGCAACACAGACTGCTAACAGTTGTAACATTAAGGGGCTGCATTTGCTTGCAGTCCTAACTATCCTTGCAGGGGTGCCTGATTAAGCTGGGCAGTTTTCATTCCACCTTGCTCAGACACATCACAAAGGCTCATTTCTCAGTAAAATCTATTTTAAAAGGGGTCAATAATCACTCTTACTGGCAGACTATTAGCTATCTTACAGCTAAATTAATTTACTGTTGAAAACAGTAGTTCTTTTTAAATATGTTTGCCTTATGGACAAAGACACTATTAAAAAGTAAAAGGTTACTGACCTTTTCAGGAAGGACTAACAAGTCTGACATTAAAGTGTCATGTGATTATGACAATCATCCCCTACAAAAAAAATGCTCATTTTTTTCAGTTTTATTCATTCATTGAAAGAAAGAGATAAAAGGAAATGAAATAACTCTTATGTTTGTCAGTTTGCATCACATGGCTTTTCTTTTTCTAGGCCTGCTTTGTGTCTAACCTTTCTTACATCTTTTATCTCATATGTTTTCAGACTATCTAGACCACATCCTTGGAGTACACAAAAAGCTTATAGTATTGAGTTTTCTATATTTTTCTAATGCCTTATTGGCTTTAATAGATTTAATGCTTGTGAAAGATGAGACAGTGGTTTTATTGGCATTTAGAAATTTAATTCTCAAGCAGTAACACTAGCAAAGCAAAAGCTGTAACAGTGCAGGCTTCTCCACAAAGCCCTGCCAACACAGCTCAATGCCATCTTATCCTATTATTTATTATAGTTTCTACTACCTTGCCCAGTGGAGATGTCAGGCATATTGGTATTTAGTTTCCTGGATCATTCCTGGAGTCCTTTTAGGCAGTCATATTTATAACACATTTGCCATTTTCCAATACCACTTAGTACCACTGATATTAAGCAAAAACATAGCACTCCTCTTTCCCCAGCTACAAATTAATTTATGATTCCAAGATGAATACATCTGATCATCCCAAATCATTATTGCTTATCTTTTCCGTTCACTCTATTGCTAATTCAGTTTCAGGCATATTCTCTATCTGGTCTTCCATATGGGAAAAGTTCTGCTGTGGAAATCTCCCCAAGATACTCTTCAGTGAACAACAACAACAAAAAACTTCCTTACTTTCTCTGTTCTGGTTTTATCATGATTCTTCTTCCCGCCCAACCTTAACTCTCTGTGGATCCTCAGGATTCTCTTGCAGGATTTCTGCTCATAAATACTAAAGTTACTAATGGCGATTCCTTTTTGCTGGTTGTTGCTCTAACTCATTTTAGCCTGCCTTAATGTGTTTTCCACATTTCATTAAGATTTATGATCCTTTCTGTTTCCTTTTTTGGACACAACTTTCTTCATGTCCTTCTTTTTGGAAGATGCTTTCTTTTTTTTTATAATTGCCCTACTCCTGTGGTGTTCACCACAACCACAGAAGTAAACAATTATACAAACCGTCCTGCAGCAAACTCCCAAAGAACATAATGCAAACACTGAATTATGGACCTTCATGCACGCTGCAATTTTATTCACAATATCACTACTAGTCTCATTGCTAAGATTAAAACCAATATTAAACTTTTCATACATCCCAAAGCACAGCAAGGAGCACAAACCAATCCAAGTGATCAAAGACTACTCTCATAATACAGGAAAAAAAGACACTTTACACAATCTTTTGGGAAGTGCCAATTCCTTTCCATAATTCACTGCTAGTATACTGAATTAAAGCTTTTAAGTTTACAAACACTGCTCAGAATCATGCCAGTATGACTGATACAAGTAAAATTCTAGGAGTCTTAAATAAGTGGGTGTCACATTCAGGCACCAGCCCCCTCACACATTAAGAGCTTCATAGCAGAAGCTTGACATAATTTGCATCAAATAAATGCCTGAAGAATGTATCTGATTAATAACAAGGACATACAGGAGAAAGCATTTGCACAAACCAGAAATTATTTTCTAAGGTAACAAATGCACTCTCCAGATGGGAATTAAAACAAAATTGCAGGACTCAGAGGGACTACCATAGAGCATGTGAGTGTTAGATAAAAAGGGTTTGTGAGGAAGTTGCTACAGTACTTAAACATACCGAGTCTGGTAGAATACTGTCATGAAAACCTACTATATGCTTTATTACACTCTGCTTCAAAACACCTTAATTCCCTGTGAATTCTTTGTACAGTCCAAGGAAAAAAAATAATGTTGCTACTAAATCACAGGAACTTTCTCTGCACCTTAGGCCTCTAAAATTTTCTCTGCTGAGTCATGTCATCTGACTGGTCACACAAGAATACATGTCAGCTTGTAGCTTGTCATGGAGCTGATTACAGATTTTTTTTTGAACGAGCTGAAGCTAATATGCTTAAGCTATTAAACAAAAATGTCATATATGCTCTTTATGTGCACTTTGTTCTCCATATTAAATCATACGCATCATAGATCTTTAAGGACAAAATTACTGATGCACAGCACATGCACTCCTTTAACCACAGTGGTTTACCCTAGCAAAGTATTATCAAATGTAAGTGTTCTTAAGACTATAGAAAGGAAATTAGCATGCTCTTTTCCTCTGCTATTTAGTTGTCATCTCAGGGTTTTTTTCCCCATAATGATTTAATCTTGTTCAAAATTTTGGGTCCACATTCTATTGATGGGGCCCTCCAGTAACTGGATTAAGTTCCCAAAGTTACTTTTTGACTCCTGTAAATTTTACGTCCAGTAATATTTTGCAAAATTAATGACTGTCTCTCATTTTTTATTATTGCTTACTACTTCCTATATGTTTTTAAGATGTACATTTCTTTGTGTAGCTTGTCCTATGTTCACAAAGTATGTTTCTACTGGAGACTGCCTGGTCTCAGCTCAAGATAACTGAGGGATCTACAAACTCTAGACTTTCAGCACTGTAATTTCGCATCTTTTAATTAGCCTGGCCTCTTCCTATACCTCCACTGTAAGCCCAGCATGTTCTTTATCTGACTTATCCCCGTTTTGCTGACTTAGCACTCTTTCAGTAGCCCGCCCTCCCTGAGGAGAAAAAACGACTGCAGTAGCGAGGCCTCGTAAGTAACATGGCTATTGAAAAGCAACAACAAATAAGCAGGCTTTCGCCACACACCCTACAGAGAAAGCTTTCCTCGTCCACTCAGGATAAACAAGCGTTTCGGAAACCCGGGGTCTCATAAATACGAGGCACAAGTGCTCACTTTCTGAAGTTTCGAGCGAGGGACCGGCCGGAGGAGCAGCCGCCGCCCCCCTCACGCCGGGGCGCCCCAAGCCGCCGCCTCACAGCCCCGAGGCAGCTCCCGCCCGTGCGAGGCCTCGGCACTCCTCCCGGCACCTGACCCCGATTCAACAGGTCTCTGTGCAGACACGGGGCCAAGCGGGGCGCCGGCGAGTCCGGCCCATAAGCTCACGCCTTTCCAAAACCCGTGGAGGTGCCGCGGGACCCTTCCGAGCCCACCTGCGCCGGCGCCGGCCTGCCACCGCTCCTCGCCCGCCCGGGAAGAGCGAGACAGCCTGCCCGCCGCGCCTCTCCGCTCCCTCTCCCGGGGCCCGCGGGGCTCAGGCAGCAGCGGCGGCCCGCAGCAACTCGGCGGCGCCGTGAGGGAAGCACCGCGCCTCCCCTGCAGCAGCCGGCGATGGACCGCGGCGGGCCGGAGCCGCCACCGGCCGTCTCTCACCAGGTACCGGGGCTGAGATGAGCGGCGGCAGGGAGGGGTGAGGTGGGAGGCTCTCCGCGGCTCACAGAGCCTACCGGCGTTCACCTGACTTCGCTTTACTTTCCTCGGCCCGTCGCCGCGGGACGCTGGGAGCGGATGGGAGCGTGTGAACGGCTGAGGGGCTCCGTGGCAGGTTTTGGCGGGCTTTATGGCGAGCAGCTGCGGGAAGCCTCCCGGGCGGTCGGCGCTTCAGCCCGGCTCCCCGGCTGTGCTGACGAGCTGACAGCAGCTATGGCTTTTTCATCTCTGTTCGGTTTCCCCCTAATTCGTGTGAGGAAGAAAGGCTCATAGACACCAGGCAGGGAAAAAAATGCAACCTGAGGGGCCTTATTCTTGTGAGGTAGCGGAGCTGTGGCTGCTTGGCGCAGTGTTTCTTGAGGACCAGAACTTGAGCACCCTATCTCATGGTGGGCCCGCTGCTGTCAACGTGATAGTGAGTGGCCCTGGCTGTCTCATGGCCTGCAGCCAGTCCCTGGGAGAGGACCCTACAAGAGGCAAACGCATCCTGTTCACGTCTTCCGCAGCCTTCCATGTTGCATAGCTCACTAGCGTGCCTCCCAACAGGCATTCCCTCCCCACCTGCAGTCCCAGTGCACCTTCAAGGGTGCTAGTCTTCACACAGGAGCCATTTCACCTGTGTCACAATTTCTGTTGCCCTTGTCCTTTCTACCAAGTCAAATGTGTCAAATTATGTTCATTTTCTTGTAACAGCTGAAAAGAGGGAACTGGACTGTTCTAGTTCAGTGCGATTTCACGTGTACTGTGCTGTAACTAGCAGAGCACATTAAAATTTCAGGAGGGAATGACAGTGATGCTTCCGCTGCTCAAATCAGTGGTGAAATAAAATGTAGCACCTGTAAGTCTAGATGAGAAACAGCTGAGGGAGCATGTTACCTATAAAACTGCATGTGAAATAGAGAAGATAAGCAGGAATAGTGGTTGGTTTATCTGTCATGATACAACAATTGTTGGGATGCCAAGTAGAAATATTTAATGGTAGATTCAGAACAAAGAAAAGTACCCGTCTCTTCATATGATGTGTAATTAAGATGTCATATGACATTGCAGATGCTGAAAAATATACATGGCTTCAAAAAAGGGGCAAATTGAAGGAGCAGTCTATTAAGGGATGTGGTGCATCACAAATATATCTGCTTTGGGAAGTCTGGGATATGCAAACTGAGGAAAGCTGGGACAGGAAAGTTATTTGCTAACTAGCTATTTTTCATGTTCTTATAGTCTTTCTTAGGTGCTTTCCATGGCCTCTTTCAAAAATGGGATACCAGGCTATACTGGCCTTTGATCTGAGCCAGTATCACTCTTCTTATGTTAGTACTGCTTAAAGATTAAAAGGTTCTACTTAAATATGTAGCCCTCCTGGAAGCACTCTTGTGCGTGGCAGCTTCTACCACTATCTACAGATTACTTAGTTATATCAGTCATTTATTTTTTTTTTCCAGGAGAATTTGTGCCAAGCATCTGAGTTTGTACTACCTGCTATGTATGTTAAATAGGCTCCTGCATCCATGAAATGGTAGTTTTATTTTCATGGTAACTACACAATGTTTTGCTTTTGTAGAACACAGGTGGGCATTTTCTTCATTAAATGCATGCTCCTCTTTTGAATTACATGACTTCATTTAAAATATTGGCCTTCTAATGAGTGATTCTAAAATGTTCTCTGACAGCAGAGTGATGATCTGAGGACCGTTTTATGCATGCTTATAAGGAAATGCTTTTTGAAGATAAGAACTTTAATTTTTGAAGCTACTGGCTACAAATTGTGCTTTGAAGTTTGGTTTGTACCAGACCTTCCCACGTAAACTTCCGGGCACTAGACAATGTTACAGTGTTGTTAACTATTCGTAATGAACTAAACCATTGGATGACACACAAATATTTAAAATGCTGGATAAAACCTTGAAATAGAGCATCTTCAGATGTTGGCATACTTTACTAGCAACTCTTAAAATTGATTTCATTCCCCTGATTCGAGGGCCTATTTTTACTGACCAGTTGTATTAGCCAAAATGTTTTCAAAAATACTTGATTCACATTTCTGCCTTTGGAACATGACTAAAAAGCTCTTTGTTTAACAGCCTACCTCTGAGTTTATATACGCTTCTGTCCTTCCACTTATTTTTTTTTCAGAGAAGAATTAATTACAGAAGATTATGGGTCAGACTTATACAGGAATTAGATGCCTAATGCCCCTTTGATTTCTCACTGAAAAAAATGGGATTTAGTTATCAAAATACCTCTACAAATCTGAGTCTATGACAATTTTTTTTTATCTTGACTAGACTATGTGTAAAATCTTTGTGCTCACCTATTTTTCTCATGTATAATGTTATCATTGTCTTCCTGAAATAGGTAGAAACAGATGACCAAACAGCCCTTGTTAACAAGCCCAAGAACAAAGGAGGAAACAGTGATCTGGCATCAGCTGGATTTAACATTATCAACTCTATCATAGGATCAGGCATTATAGGTAAGTATACTTTTCTTCACTACCCTGCATTCAGCCTTGTTTCTACATGTATGACTATCCAGTTTGGAGAATAATACTGTCGTCTTACTTTCTGCTGCTGTTCCTAAAGATTTTTCCCTATTTTTATTTGCTTACTATGCAAAAATGCAGAGGTGTCAGCTGAGATCACATCTCACAGTGGTAAATACCCTACCACCTCTTTGCCATAATGATCAGAGAGAACTGGTTGGGCAGGTGCTGACTGAACTTCATACCTAGGCAACACTTTGTCCACTAAAAATCATCTTTCTGAGGTTATTAAGCATGCTGGTCCAATTTGGGCAATAGCATTTTTAGTAATCTGAATATTTCTTTATTTTGGTCATCACAAGTATTTGGAAAGGTTCTTCTATAATCTCTCCTTTTTTTATTTACAGGATTGCCATATTCAATGAAGGAAGCTGGTTTTCCGCTAGGAGTACTGCTTTTATTTGGGGTTGCCTATATCACAGGTACTCTAAAAGAAGTTTCTGTTGTAAAGTGAAAATTAGTCTTGCAATGTTTAGCTGATCTTGAGCTTAATGTTACCTTAAACAAGTATATCTATGACAATAAAAATGACAAATTTTTTCCTTACATCACTAATCCCTTGAGCAGATTAGTAAAAGTAGAGAATTATACCGTACAACATATAAAGCTGCTTTTTGTGTGCAATTTATTTTCGTAAAGCCTAGTTTCTTAGACTAGGTCAAGGTGACATTTGGAAGAATAGCTCTTATTTGTGCCTCGTAATCACCTGTTGTAGTCCACTGTTTTTACCCTAATTAAGTGACTGATCCTTGAGTGGGTTGTATGTCACTTCTTTTAAACATACCACAGAATGAAAACTTTTGGTTGTACTATGATTTTGAATATTTTAGTTAATTATGATTCATCAAAAAAAATTGATTTACCTTCAAAAAGGGACAAGTTTTGAAATCACATGGTAAATAAACTTAAACATAAGTAAATCCATTGCCATCAGAGGAGAATTTTTGTAAGGACTCTGTGGATTCAAGTCTTAAAATGGCATGAATGGCACAAATTATGTTACCCATACGCTGAGCAGCAGTTGATGCTTTTCATTGCTTATAATATCATTTAAGGGTCTGCATAAATGATTGATGTTTGACTAGAGGGCAATATAACATAAGGAATATGTTCAATATGAATGGAAAATTTTCTCTATGGCTGATGGCAAAATACATTAATGAAATCATACCATAAACATAGCTCAGAAATTTCAGTTACTTTCCTGATTTGTCCTTTGCATTTCTAAGTATTCTGAAGACTTTATAGCCATAGGCCCAGAACTTGTGAATTAAACTCAGCATTTTGTTACGTTAAAGATGTGGCTCAATATATCTTGCACAAGCAAATCATAACTATAGTTACAACTTTTTGACTTGTAGCATTTAAGGTACAGGCTAAGTATATAACATTAGCATTTATTTTCCATAGTTTTTACTGAATAATTGGCAAATAGCTGTTTGAAAAGTATGCTGAAAAGTATTTCATTTTGGGAGATGTTTTTGAATTATGCTGGGTATAGTTCTAGATTGACAGACATATACAATTTTAGGTCATTTAATGATAAATCTTTTTCAAGTTTTGTGAGTGTAAAATCCCTTGCTAAAAAGACTTAATATTTCTTGTACAAGATCAGCTCAGTATGCAACATAATTGATAATGAACAATTCTGTATTTCTGTTTTTGTCTGTTCCCAATTATAGTGTGAGTATATATTGTGTAAGAATTGCATATGCTCGTGGGAATCTCTGGATTGGCTTTCACATTAACAAATGCTAGAGATCTCCTTTGTAAAGACACTGAAAATTTTGTAATTTTAGTAATTCCCAGAAGATAATAAACACTGATACCGTTCACAGAAAGGAACTGTTTCTATCGCAGCATAGATTACAAGCTAAGTGAAAGCCAGATGAGGAATAGACGAGGTCTAGCTACTATCTGTCAAGACATCTGCACTAAGGTAATAAATTCTGTGCTGTACCTAATCTGGACTGGAAAATCCCATGGTGCTCAAATGAATACTAAAGCATAGCTTGACATAACAGCAATATTTCGAACTGTGCCTCATAAAAAGTTGAGGTTCAATCTAGGAGTAATTTCGCTTTGACATCAGCTCTATCTCAAGGCACATTGCTTCATGGTTTTCTAGATAAATCACTTTGTGCATGTTTTATTTTAAAAGTATCCAGTAATAATGTTTATAATATTTTTATCATAAACAATGGAGAAGACACAAAATACTAACCAGGCTTTATCTTTCACAAACTTAGATAAATAGCTGAGTAAAGTGATTGAGACTTCTAGAACCACGACACAGGCGGTACTCGCATTTTACCCCCTTTCAGGATATAATCAAAGGCTTCATCCATTCAGGAAGCCTCTGCATTATAATTGAATGTTCCTTTTTTCGGTGCTCATAACAGTTCTCATTCTCTTTGACCATACTGAAAACCAATGAAAATGAGTCTGTTTCTGCTGTCCCTGAGAGGGAAGGCTGGAATTTCCTTCCAATATGAGCTTGTAACTCCTGGGTTTGGTGGATTGAGATCCTGTGCAAGATTTCTCATCCCTGCTCTTCCCAGTGCCACTGTTTTCCTTTTTGCAGACTTTTTTTTAAGGAGTAAAAAAGATGAAAAGTAACCAACCACAAGTTGGCTCATACTGTCTTTAACAGTAATTCTATATTTTAACAGATTATTCCATTATATTACTGATCAAAGGAGGAAACCTCTCCGGTACCAACACCTATCAAGAGCTGGTCAGAAAAACATATGGTCTTGTAGGTTATCTAATTCTTTCAACTCTTCAATTTTTATATCCATTTATTGGTAAGATCACATAAAATATAAATGTTTAAGTTTTATAAATAACAAGGTTTTTCACATTTCCTCATTCTTTCACTGGTTAAATATTAAGAACTCTGTAAAGAATATACTGTATCTGCCTCTTTCCTATTAAAAAAAAAAAAAAAATTACTTGGTGTCTTCTGAAGAACTACTGAGGAAGAATTCAGTGAATTGGAGGACCAGAATAATAGAAATTAACTTAAATGTAATAGCAGAGAAATTCATGATCACACACTTAATGACAAAAGTAGCTATGAGAAATAGCAAAGAAGAGGTTCTGTTCTAGAATGAATAACAGAGCAAAGTTGATGTGCCTGAAGTAAAAGGAAAATATGACTTTAGAACTATATTGAATTAATATTTTTCCAAAGATATAGTATTACTGTCATTGGAGAAGCCACTGAGCAGATCTTGCTTGAATATTATGTGCAGTTATTGTTCTTCAAAAGCATTAATTCAGGCTCATAACCAATGAGCTGCTAGGAAATTGGGCAGTCAAGACCCCTTTGAAGAAGAAATAGTAAAAGAACAGGTATAATCTGGGCAGGAACTAATTAGACCAGAAGTTTAAAATGAAGTGATATTCTGAATCTGTCCCCTACAGTAGTAACATAATTAAATCAAATCTTAAATAAGCTTGGTATTTTCACACATGGGGCTGCAAGAGGTGGTGACTTGAGATACCAAGAGTCTGGACTCTGACCGCAGAGTCCCAGATCAAAATTCCTACTTTGGGAATAATCAATCTGAATTTATTACAGATAGCCAAAATTTTTAAGGGAGTCAAGTTACTGTTACTGCAGGCAACAATGTTACACATGTTGACTTAAAGAGTATAATTACTACTTCATAAAGAATATGGAAAAGAATTGTAAAGATCTCAGTCCTTACCCTGGAACCAGTTACGTGTATGTGCTTGAATTTATTTCTATAAGTAGTGTTAATGACTTACAATTTCACAACAGTGACTATTTATGCATTAGTTAAGGTCAATACCTGTATGTATGCTGTCTAAATGGTGAAGACCACATGAGTATATAAATATATTTTGTGTGTATGTATGCACACACATGCACACATATACACACTTCTAGTGTAGAGTAAGATAAGAATGAAATATGAATGTTAAGGCCACAGTTCTTATTAACGAGAGGAAGGAATGGAATTCAATATCTGATATCTTCATCTATTTTCTCCTCTGTTCTGGTTTAAAGCTTTTGCTAACTTTTTACATGAGCTAGGAAGTCCTGTGCACTTGATTGCAGGACTGATTGTTAGGCTAACACGGGAACTTTACTAAATAGAAACAAGAATTTGAAAATAAACTGGCAAAGAATTGCTGTTAGAAACAAACAATTTTTAAAATCGTATTTTTCATCTTCTGAAGTAAGTTTATATGGCAAGTCAGCACGATGGCCTTGCTTACTGGACTGGATTCTTGCTGAGGTTGTACCTGTTTAAAAAAAAAAAAGGATAGGAAATAAAGGAGAGTGTTAAAGAAGTTTTTTAAATTTTGTTTTAAACCTAAAACTTGAGAAGTTGTTGGTGCTAGCCAGAATTCATACAAGAGGGGTAGTGGCATATAATCCTGAAGTCTACAAAATATGTGTATTAAATGCTTATCAGATATTTCATATTTGACTTGTGCTAACAAAAAATTTTATTTTCTTTAAGCTATGATCAGTTACAACATAATAACAGGAGATACTTTAACTAAAGTTTTTCAGAGAATTCCTGGAGGTAAGATGCATTGAAAAATTCAGAACAGGGCAAATGTATTGGGGTATAGCATAAGTGTTTAGGGATTACCTGTTACTTTGCTTTTAAATTACTCTTAAATGTAGTTCAAGTTAAGAACTTGAAGCATATTTGTATGAGTGTGTTTTGGTAAGTTGTTTTTTTTTAAAAGTCTTTCTCAAATAAAACCTATGAATCCTAGTCCTTGGTTATCCTTGGACTCAGTGTCAGTGAAGAGACCACATGCTTCAATGAAATACTAAGCAAATAGAAGGAATCTTCCACAGTGTTGTATTTACAAGGTCATCATATCTGTCATCTTTTTTAGATATTTCCTATAATAATCATTTGAATACTGAAACTGCACTTCATCTAGTGAATAATTCTGGATTACTTGCAAATAATATAATGGATTTAATCCTTACTTAAGTATATCTCTAATAGTTGGTCATGGACTCCATATGTAACTTCCAGTTCTCTTAGATACTCACTGCAAAACCAGATGTGGCACTTGGAGCTTTTTAATTCATGCATTTGTTACCCTTCCTCTGCTGTAAGTTTTCACAGCAGAATCAGTGGAGCAATTTGTGTGCATGTTTGCCATCTACTTTAGCACAAAGTTAAAACATTCTTCAGTGGGAAATTAAACTAAAAAGAACATGTCTCCAATGAAGTGGAAGTTAGTATTTGTATGAACTGTTTGATTTCCACAACAGAACTATGATTTTTAGCAGGTGAAGCCTGCAAGGTGTGGATGCAGTTTTAACTGTCTCACTCTTGTTCTGTGAATACCTGATCAGGTTGATAGTGATAGTGAATGTCTAATAATTTATACACAATATGACTTCTGTAATAGGAGGAACCCCCAGCATGGCACATCTTTTCACTGGCTGGTAGAATGCCTGCCTGGAAAGAGGTGGGAAAGCATTATAATCTCCCAAAGAATAGAGGGAACTGAACACAGACTTTCCATGTCAATTGCCAGTCACTTTCCAGCCGTAATCATTCAGCAACCTTTCATTCAGGCCCATAATTCATGGTAGCCTGACTGAAACTGAGATATGTTTTATTTTAAGTTGTCATTGGCTTGGAAAAAACTACCAGTTGTACAAATAAATCCCACTGATTGCAGGGAGTATTTTAACATTATTGTTGCCTTCACATGATAATCTGTATTTTGCAAGTGAAAGCCAGCTGACAGCAAGAAAGGAGGTGCTCAAAAGAAACCTCAAAATTAACTTATTTAGGGTCATTCTTTAAGAATTTGCTTATCTTCAACAGCACAGTAATTGATGTCAACACACAGTGTCAAAAAATCCTTGAGTAAATGGCAGAAAGAAGTAACAGAATGCTTTACTTGACCAAGGCATAATGAAAGAAATACTAATCTATATGTAGAAATGCCAGGCTTCCAAAGTTTGGTATAATATATCCCATATGTTAAGCATTTGGTTTGAATTTGCAGAATTCTTGTGATTATGTACATGCTGTGTATGGCTTCCTCAAGGTTAGTTAATGCCTAGTCTTTATTTCAGTGTTACTTAGCTTGAGTAAAGGAGATAAAAGCCTGATCAACATCAGAGTTTGTTACTCCTAGCCTTTCAAATATAACTAATTTCTTCCTCATGTCAGTCTCTTAGAGAAATAAATTGGTTTTTTTTTTGCTTTAGTTGGACCAGATAATGTGCTTACTGACCGTCACTTCATAATTCTTCTTACCACCATCATCTTTACCCTGCCTATATCTTTATATCGAGACATAGCAAAACTGGGAAAGGTAAATCATAATAGCAGTTGATTTTTGGTTTACTTTTCTGTATGCCATTAGAAAATAAGTGTCAGTCATAACTTAATGTATTTGAACTCATTTACATCTGGCTAGAGCATGTTAAATATTTTAAAAGTTCAGACTGTCTTCTGTCCTAAGAAAGATCAGAAAACTTGGAATAGTTTAAGCAAAACTTTGGTCTCCATATGAATTGCTGGAGTTTTTCCATCTACTGCTAGTAGAACTTAAATCTTGTAAACAATGGGTGATACAGGCCTGATCTTGAAATGCTGAGCACTGTTGATTAGAAATGTTTAAATGGGAATATCACTTAAAATTAGACAAAGAGTTGCAATTGGCTAGTTACTCAAAAAGAATAGCAAATTAAATGATGATGATATAGGACAAGCTTTCTAATTGTAAGTATTTGATGTGATATTTAGAACTTTACTTGGTTGTTAATTATTCTTAGAAAAAAAAGTACATTATACATTATGCTGCTTAATAAGAGGACAACCTTTCAGCAGCTTACTGACTGAAGTCATGTTTTTACCTTTACAGGTATCGCTTATTTCTCTGATTTTAACCATTGTCATCTTGGTTATTGTAATGGTGAGAACAGTAACATTCAGTCCAGAAGTGTGAGTATTCTTCCACTTGCTACAAAGTGAATTTTTGATCATACGTAATCTGTTATTTCACTATTACATATAGGTGCATAGTTTTGGAACATGGCTGTTTTGGGAGAGACAGATAATTGAAAAAATAAACCTGTATTAACAGTAATACAAAATGAACTGCTAAAACATCTTTATCTCTTTTTTTTTTTTTCTTCTATTGCATGTAAACAAATTTAGAAAAAGTCTCAAAAAACGTACAGGTTAATTGGAAATTGCAGGTGGTATGGCTAATAGCAGGTGGCTCCTGAATGGGCCTGTGAGGTTGTTTGTCATTTGAGAAATCTTTAATTTTGTCCATTATTGTCAGACAGCTGATATTGAAAATCTTAAAATAGATAGTATCTTAGGAATATTTCTTTTTCTGTTAATATAATGATTTCATAATAAAAGCTGAATACAAATAATGAAAAGAAAAAAGAGAACACAATAATAAAAACTTTATTCTGTCAATTGAGAAAACAATATAAGTATGCAAAACTGTTTTCCAGCACTCATACTGTGAAAGTAGTATTTAACATTGGACATTGGAGTGTTCTAGACAATTTAGTACACATGTGGCAATATTTTTATAATTATATTGCAACGAAGTGTTATGAATCTATTAGCTTTACTTATGGCCTAGAAGGTCTGCCTTTTTCCTTATCCTTTAAATGTGAAAATATATTAATGTGGTGGGTGCTGAATGCTTATTTATCTATTGGAATAGTTTTATATAGTATTTCTAATGTTTCTTGAAGAAATGGATTTTTCCACCATGATTTTCAGCAGTGTTACGCATAATTGTTAATTTGTCTTACTGCTATGGTACTTGGGTTAGTTGCAGGATATTCGTGTTTAATGCTAGGAAGATGGCTAGAACAGCAGTTTCTAAGGTTGTACCAGATGATGTTGTCTATCATCCATAAAATGATGCCCTCAGAACAGTGTGGGACTTGCCCCCCCACCATCTTGCTGAAGCAGCATGTTTTTCATGCTGTGTGTTAAAGGGGTATTTGAAAGGGTAATCTCAAAATCCCCTGTCAAAAAAGAAAGAAAGGTTATATATAATGGTTAAATATATATTATATATACATATATATAATCTATCTAATGGTTACTGATGACCTTGTTACTAGGGTGACATTTCTTTTCAATGGTTGTGATGCACTGAAAAATATGGAAGGCATGGTTTTATTTTTTCTTACAATAAGTAATGTTGGGTTTTGAGTGATTCTTGAAGTTTTGCTTTTTAATTCTTTAGAAACTTCCGGTTTTGCCTTTACACTATTGTTTTCAAAATGCATCTAGCAAGCTGATAAACTGTTAATCAGATTTTTTTTGCCTCACAAACATTCTATCAATGTCTATTTTTAATATTTTTACTATTTGTATTTTACAGTTAGAAACAGACATATACTTTATTTATTAAAATCCTCTTCTAATATTTTGTTAATGGTATAATGGTATGCCATCTCTTTTTATACAGTGAGAATAAAGACCACTAATACATTTCAATATGGCTCTCATCATAGTGTTATAACAAGTGAAACAAATAACGCATTTACTGTAAACCCTTATGAAAATACAATAGAAGTTGGTGTTTTCAAAGAGATGTAAAAAATCATTATTATGAAACAGTGCTTAGATCTGTCATATAGGAAAAGAATTTGTACAATCCTAGATAAAGGCTTGATAGGGCCAAGAGACAATATTTAATCCCTACCATTGTTACACTTCAGAACTGATTGTATGCCTGTCATTGATGACAGTTGATTGTCTAGTTTGTTCTTGGCAATTCCATGATTTCCCATTCCAGTTCTTAACTAGCCTTTTCTTATGAATTCTTCCTAAATGTGTATTGTATGTCTCTTACTGGATTTCACGTTGGTTGCTTTTTGGCCTAACCACAGTGGACATGGACAGCAAACTGTTCATTCTTTTTCAAACGCTTAACAAACACCTGTAAAGAGCTGTAACTTGTTCCCCTTTGGTGATCCTTTCTATAGACTAAACACAGTTCCTTCAGTGTTTCTCTTGCTTGTTATTTCCTGTGCTATTGATCATTCTCAATGGCTGCCTTAAGTTCTCTGCAAATTGAGGTGAGATGGTGGTGCCCCAACTGCCTGTGGCATTCCCACTGAGGAGCAGAGAAGAAAGATTGATGTATCTTACATGCAGAGTGTCTTGAGGTCCCTTTCAACTGTATCTTTCGGGGATTGCTAGGCTCCTGTTTATGTCACCTAGTTTGATGTTTGCGTCTTTGGAAAGTAGCATGATGTTGTGGACATGCCTTGAGTTTGCAGTGTAATAGAAGCACCAGGCCTTTCTCTGCAGAAATGTGAGCTGGCAATTTTTCCTTTCTTTTACTCTGTTTTCATGAAGTGTGGGGTTTTCTTATCCCCCCCTCCTCTGTTCTCGTGAAGTCTTTTTTTTTCCCTCTGAATAACTGTAGAATTTGTCATTACAGAATTGAATACTGCTTTATCAGGTGATTTCTCCATTTACCGACATATTTATGATTTTCTTTTTTCACCCTGTTCTCTAGCATGCTTGTGTTAACTGCACATTTCATGCTTTCTGTTAAGGATGCTTCTTACTTTTTGTTCCATCATTCAAGTTACTGCTCAGTACATTCAGAAGTGCTGCACTCGGGTCAGGTTCCACTGGAATCCTGTTTGGTTATCTTCCCACTTTGATAATTACTCTCTCACTTACCTTTACATTTTTCAAAGTGAAGATTGCTTCCCTTTGAGAGGTACAACAAGATTATCTGGTGATGATAAAACTGTCTTTCTGCTTAAATTCAATCCATGTTCCAGTTGAAAATGGTATCTATTATTTGGACAACAGAAAATATTATCTTTCCTAGAAACCTTCTGCAATGTGTTAGACAACTTTATTAGTTTTTAATGATTTGATATGCTTGAAACTGTAGGTTGAAAAACAGCAATTATAAGTCTTTGGAGTATTGCATTTTTTTTTTTATTTTTTTTTTTAGTTGCTTTGGGAGTGGGGCTGGTTGTTCAGGGACATTGTAGGGATGTTATTTTCTTGTTAGTTCTCAGGAAAAAAAAAAGTATTTATGATGAGGGATTACTTGGTTTAATTTATTTCCTCTTATGACAAATATGAAACTCGAGTACTTTTTTCCCAGTTTTGCTTTTGATTAATATCATCCATATGATTATTGTTGACTGAAGGACATAATAAACCTGCAGATAAAATCCATTTTTTTTTTTTAAATTCTGGACCCAGAGTTTAATCTCAAGTTTAAGATAATTTTGATAATCCATTCTTTACTTTATTTCCATCTGCTAATAGCTGGGTGTTTTTCTACTGTGATCAAAAACAATGGGTTAGAATTATCTCAAACTGTGAAAGTGCAGCATGTAAATACTGCATAGAATAACTTCATGCTTCAAAGCTGAAAATAACATTCTTGCTGTAAAAAGCAATATTTTATATAGCTTATGAAGATGGATCATTTTAATTTGGTGTTCTTTTGGAAAGAATGTCATGATGTCAGTGTCTGCATAATACATATATCTCTCAGAAAAACTTCAAGATTATCTGCTACACATAAATAGGATGTGAGAATTACTCAGCTGGCAGCTGATCACAGGGATGAAACACCAAGTGGTCAGGAAAATAACTTGAAAGTAGAAAGTTGATTCTTTCTTTCATATAAATAATCCAATAGTAAGCAAGATAAAATTTAATGTGTGATGAAATTAAAAAATAAAACTAAGCTACTGCATATTTATAGAACTCTTAAGTAGTTCATTAAGGAAGAAAGAGGAGTTAAAGCAGCTGTAATTAAGTGGGGCTGACATAGTTTTGCCTCGTCTGTTTTTTAACAACCAAGATGACTGATTAATATAAAATTCAAGGCTGATGTGAGCATTACTCATTTTCTTTCCATTATATTGATTTAAATTATATTCAGTGTCTATAAACTTTTTCAGTGCCTCTAAACTTAAAGATTAAACAAAAACTAAAAAGGTGTTTTACCTTAGAGTAGACTTGAATTGAAATTTTACGATTAATTTCCTAAATGTCTAAATCATTGAATTAAACTTGAATTAATCTGCCATGTGTTCTTGGATTATTTTGATAACTGCTGGTTTGCACCTAAACTTGGCGGTTTGTCACTGATCTTCAGTCCAAAACAATGGAACTCTTTTGCTCATTCAAGCATGTAGCACCCCTGTCAAACATATGACTTTGCTTCCTCTCTAGAAATTAACTTTTTTTTTTTCTTCAGTCAGTGTTTCATACCTGTGAGCTGGGTTCAGATCAGGGATGTATGTTTCTCTTGCCCTCCTTAAAGATATTTTGCTTCTGATGCACTCTGTTGCTGTATTATATTTGGCAGCATTTCTACATAAATGACAGAAAAGATTTTTTCCATAACATGGATCTTAAGATGGGCAATATTATACTGTAAATGTTTTGACAAGAAGTAGAAGATATGCTGTCTTAGACCACCAAACAAATTTGCCCAACTCCTACTCATGATCTGGATGTGAAATACCTTTTACCCCGTTAGGAGGTCTTAACCTTTGCCTTGGCTCATTTGTTCTTTTCATTTTCCCCTGTTCTTATGTAGGTAAACACGAATATTTTCAAAACTTTTTTAAACTCACTAGCATGGTTATTGTGCTATACTTTCCCTTAAGTTTACTGAAGACCAAGTAGAGTCTTATTTTCTTAACCTCTAGGCTTTCTTCATTGCTAGGCTTCACTACCTTCCTAAGGACAGTTCTTATTGTCAGTCTGTCTTGCTGTCGTCTGAATTTCAGCTGAGATTTTTTTCCCATCTGGGATCTCCCTTGGAATGTCTTTTTTTTCAATCTTTTATTATTTTTCTTCCAAGGATCACAGTTATATTACCTCTCAGCTTTTACTTTGTGTTACGACTTCTGCTATGTGTGATAGACGGTACAGCTCTCAACAAGTACATTTAGTATCACAAATGTATTTCTTCTGTTAACTTTCATTGTGTTTTATCTAACTACTTCTCCTTCTCCAGCATGAAAAAAACTTTGTGTTCATGCAGGCATAGCCTGTGTTTTTATACACTGAGTCAGTAGCAGTAAGCTAGCTGGTTTTGTCATTCATGGATATTTGCAGCTACTGCTATTCTTGTATGAGCAGCAGTTAAAATCTTCCCCTAACAATTCCTAACAAGAATGTAGGTCAAACTGGTTAGAACAAAGGTCCGTCTCAAAAAAAAAAAAAATCCATCTTGAACAGTAGCAGCAGGATTGAAAAAGCAGAACAGGTATAGTGTTACCTGGTATTCTTGTGACAGACTCTATCAGCCTGTGTATGCATCTGCCTACACAGACATATATTTATATGAATGTATGTATGTTTACCTTGACACTTGATATTTCCATTGGGTACCCTTTGTCTTGTAAGTCATTTTAAGTGATTGTTCACTGTATGGCTCTTCCATAACTAACAGCTACTGTTTCCTGACACAGTTTTCTCTTTCCCAGTCTGAAGTCTTATTTTATATGGACACTTTCGTGTCACCTGCACCCTTTTCCAGGAGCTTTGCATAAGTCTGTATGTCCTGTATGCAGACTGGACTTGAGGGTGATTTGTTGTTGATACAGTGAGAACTCTAGAGCTGTTGACTCTTAGTTCTAAACAGTCAGAAATGAAATTTCTTATTGTGTTGCTTTCAATTAGTTTATGTACCACATCTGTGCAAGATCCATCTGTTTCCACGGTATGAAAATGTTTTTCAAAACACATGCAGCGGTATTTGACTTACTGTAAGAAATAGTCACATACTGTTGCATATGTCATCTGTACCAGCGTGCATTGTATGACATTGCAATCTGCTGGTAGTGTTCAAATCATGAATCTGAAATTCTTCCTCAGTTCCGCAACTAGAGTGGAAGGAATTTATCTTCTTAGGCTGCTAAATAAGCAGGATTTTGTTCTTTTGGATTTTTCCCCCCCAAGTAATACTCCTAATGTGATTTGTTATTCATCCATAAAGCAAAGCTATATTTTGGTCTGTTGCATATTGCTAGTGCATAAGCAAACGCTGTGCAGGGGGAAAACTAGCTCCTGTGATTTTTTATTTTTTTTTTTTTTAAATTGATTGTTTGGCCACTTTCTTCAAAATGTTACAACTGAAATTCACATGCTTTCTACATTCCATTTTTTAAATTCCTGTTTGTAGGAGCTTATAATATAGCTATACTGTTGCACAAGATGTACCGTTTTCACAGAAATTAAATGGTGTTTCAGACAAAAACATTTTTTATTTCTGTACATTTTAAAATATTTTGGTGTATAGATAATCTAAGTGTTAATTATTAACAGAAAAGGAGGTGAGGAGACTTCCACAAATTCTGTTGTCAAAGAATAATATATGTAAAAAAAAAAAAAAAAAATTCATTCTGCATGTTTGATATCAAAGCTGACCTCTAGTGGTTACAGGATGGAACAGTTGTAATGTTAGCTTTCTGTATTCTATATTTATTTTGAAATTTTATTGAAATTTTTTTCCCCCAATCAGATGTGAAGTTTTCTTGAAAAATAATGCATTCAAAATTATGAATATGAATTGTCCACAGACATCTCTAGTGGTTTGAAATCAGTGGCATCAGGTTATGGGAGACTACTCTATATAAGGAACTACAGCAGCTGTAGCAGGTTGGAATTCCTGTTTCACAAGAGAAATGCCAGATATCTATATTTCATCCATAGTATTTCTTACATCTACATGCTGAGTCTGAGAATGTTTTAGGAGGTCCATACTCAGCTGCATAAGTCTTGAAGCAGTATGTTACAGTAGTCAAGTCAATATACTGCATCGGAGGACAAAAATGAACTTGACTTTGATGCTCTGGTTCTGTTCACTTCAAAGTTAAGCTTAGCAGCCACAGCTTAAGAGCTGAAAAGGTGCTCTGAGTCTGAACTAAATGTGCATTAGATACTGTAAAACTGGTTTTTTAATATGGAAAAGGTAGGATTGACTATTTGAGCTCTCAAGAAATAGTAAGATAATGAGTCCTGAAAGGGGAAACAGCTACATATTTTTTGTCTTCTTTTTCTTTTTAGGGGGTGGGGATGGAGTTTAAACATTTGAAAGCAATGAAACCTAGTATAGCATCTGCCATTACGGCTGTCAAAACCAGCTAGTTATCACGAGATAGAGGGAGAGAAAAAGCTGCCATTGTTACCTTCACAGAACTGATGTCAGTGTGTGATGTCAGAGTACTGCTTTCTAGGGCAGTAGGAAAATAGCAGCTAAGGCCTCAGGTGGCAGCAGCTTTCCCTCTAAATAAAAACAGAACAATCAAATGTGGCAGCAGCCAACTTTTTAAGAGCAAGCTTCTTTATACAGTTCCTTTGTCTGTGCTTCAGTATTACAAATATAATATTCAACTGGCTTGTGAATTTCATGTATTATTTTTAGCAAAGTGTAGTTCCAGAAAGGATGTTTCATGTCCTTCCCCTTTCCTTCATTTTGGCTCTTTATTCAGAGAGGAAGTTCATGCATCAAATGGATTTTAACAAAGTTCCCTGATGGTTTTCTGTTGTCCTCCTTTAAGAATTACAATCACCAAAGGTTCAAAATTGTGGGCATATCTTAGAGGAGCAGATGTGGGGGATATTACATTCTTGCCTGATTATAAAAGTCTCTATATACTCTCTTATGCTTTAATTTATCACTCCTTTGGGAACTAGCAGAATCCCTTTACTATGAGGAATAGTTAGAACAGGTGTAAAGAAAGGCAAACTGCCTCACTTGATTTGTAAAAGCATTTCTAGACTGCATGGATTACATGTTCAAATTCAAAGGAAGAATTTGTCTCTAAATAGTCAGAAGAGATTTTGGGTTGAGATAACCTTACTTAGAATCAGTAAAAGCTTTTATCTTGCCTGTTGGTGTTTCTTGGTATATGATGACTTAAAGAGTTTATTTACAAAAGTGGTCACTGAAACAGGCTGACATTTTTGGCTGTAAAAACTGATTACAGAAATATTTCAGTCAAAACAAGGGACGTGAGAAGGGTATCTCCCTAGTTTCAACTTATTGTTGATGAACACTGTGGCCTACTTCAGAGAGTTCTGGAGATCTGACTAGCAGTTCTGAGTATAAGTTATTTTTAATAACTGGTAGTTGAAAAGAGGATAATCTATTAAAACAAATGTCTGTTTTAGTCCCAAATCAGAAAATGCATGGATATTTGCAAAATCAAATGCAGTACAAGCCATTGGGGTGATGTCATTTGGTAAGTAATTTTTTTCAATATTCAGATCAACTGTAAGAAATTATTTAATATTTGGATCTAGAAATTGCATTTTTTAATTGGTTTTTTTTATATTCATGTTAAGCTGATTTAGGAAAAAAATTAAATTGATGGAGTCATCTATATGAATTTAATTGTTATGGTTTAAGACATTATCGCCATCCATTGCTTATCTGCCTTTAAAGGCTATTGCCACTGTAGCAGAGACAGTGGTGTGGCATGTGAATCCAGCTCAACTGCCTGGGTCATCTTAAAACACCTGCACCAACAGGGTTAGTCTGATAAACTGAGGAGGCTGTGATCATTCTGTGTTCTCTTAGATAACCTCTAACAGAAAAATCTTAGACTGCAATGCATACGTTTGCTAGAGAGGGCCTGTTGCTTCCCATTTCTCACAATGAATCATTCAGGTGAGTCTCAACTCTCCTCCATTATCCTCATTCTAAAATCCGTTCCTGCCTGCAGGGTCTGGTATATTACTTCTTGTTAATGCTGCGATAATCTGAGGCCTCCCAATGCTTGCTGCTGCCTAAAATGGATGTTACAGGAAGTCTGAAAGCAGCAAATGTCTCTGTGAATTTAAAAAAAAAAAATCTCAGAATTTCTATTGAGTTCTTAAGCAAAAGAAAAGTAGGAAGAGGAAATAGAGGTGGAATGGAGGTGTGGAGGGTGGGAAACAGCATGACATTTTAGGATAATGTAATTGGAATAATCTCAGGATGAATATAAACCTTCATCAAATCAAGTAAGTAAGTGAAAGTTCAAGCCATTTATCTTTGCCACTCATTGCAGGATTAATGTTTGTATTTAATATGAGTGGCTTCAAACTGTGCTGTGTCTCTCCTACCTTGGAATATACACTCTGTAAACTTATTTTATATGCATGAATTCATACATTTGCTTTAACTGTCATGTCTGTTTCAGCATTCATCTGCAACCATAACAGCTTTTTAATATATGGGTCTCTGGAAGAACCCACATTAAAGAACTGGTCTCGAGTCACACATGTGTCTGTCTCACTCGCCGTTGTTATCAGTGTAGTGTTCGCTGCGTGTGGATATATGACTTTTACAGGATACACGGAAGGTAAACTGCTCGATCCCTCAGTTTTGTTGCTTGCTGTAATCCTTACATTTCCACCTTTCTGTCTGACTTTTGCTGTTAATATCTTAGTATGATTTTGGCAGTTTTACAATCACTATGTTTGGACAGAAATCGTTAGGACAGTCTTTGTAGTTACCCAAAAACCAAAACAGGATACAAAAATGTCAGCTATGTGCTAACAGGCATCAGATTCTCAAGTGTAAGCCTCACGGGTGAAAGTCCCGTTTGAATACTTCCATAATCAAAATACTTCTGAGGACTAAACATCTATAACTTAGCCAAATGGTTCACTATCAGAGAGCAGTACGAACAAAAATTGCCTTGATGTTTCTACAGGGTGCCTGGCATATATTTCTATACATTCTCCTGTATCTTTTCCTGTCTATGCTAATATAGCGTCCTAGCTCTGACTTAGAGATATTTCCTATCTTTACAAAAGCTTATTCTGCTGTAACTAATCCTACTGTCATCTCTGTGGGTATATGAATATGTGTATAAGTATAAATATATATAATCAATGTTATATCATACTATTTAACATCATTTTGTTGAAGTAGAAAAGGTGCTTTCAGAAGAACAAGGCAAATTTGTTCAGTGCATTAGCTTCTTCAGGGAAAAATACACATTTCATAAGCAAGCAGATTTTCTGTTATTTAATAGTGCTGTTCCAAATTGTAGAAGGTGGCTTCCAAGCTTTTTCCTTTCCTGATGAGCAGCAGCATGTACTTGAGAACAGAGGAATTGTAGGATGGGGGTTACTGGTTGATCTGTCCTTTTTTCCTGCTTCCAGTGCTGTTTATGCAGAATAACTTACTGTCCTAGATGCAACTGTAGCTAGACTAAGTGCAAACTGGCTGAGATATTTCGAGTATAGAAAGCTCTGACTGCAGGTATCCCTCAGCATATGACTCTACTGTGAGCAGGTTCCATCTTACCTTTTGTCTCCCTTGTCAAAATCTTTTGGCTGTTTTCTCTGAAAGTACACCTTATTGCTTCTTCAGTGCCATTGTGATCCTAAAAGTCGTAAATCATAAGATGGTATAGTAAATGGGTAGAAAAGACCTGATAGATCAGCTAATCACTGTCTTGCAGTGTCTCTTGTGCCTCAGAGATCACTATTCCAGATTCTTTGTGGTAAACACTAAGCAAGATGGTGATTTGATTCTCTAGCAATGCTTTTGTTGTTAGATGTAAGATTTGCAAGGCAATAATCCATATGTTTATAATGGGCTTTCAGGGTCAGAATATTTAAAATCCTGCAGTTTACCATCTGTGACTAAGTACTATCAGGGAAATGCTGTTCTTCAGAGGTAACTCCCTGGTCTTCCTTGTGTAATTGTTGTTCTAGGCATTACATTTTTAAAGGAAATGTATCTTTTACATACCAACTTTCTTTCTGAATCTGTCACATATTTATTTAAACAAGCACCAGCATCTTGTACAAAATCTGTGCTAAGGGGAATATAACAGGTTAAAAACTCTGATGTGTGTATGTTAAAATATTTTTTAAAAGTAAATGCTACTTGAAATAAAAACACTGCTACTAGCAGGATAAGGTGGAAGTTCCTCCTGAATGTAATTCATCACTGTAACTACAGTTTCTTGACATGTGTCAGGAGAGGGGATCAGAAAGTCTCAATTACTCCAGTAACTCCAGTAACTTACACTTCAGTTTGCAAATAGGCAAATTACATGAAGTTCAAACTAATTGATGTTTTGCTATGCCTCAGGAGATATATTTGAAAACTACTGTAGAGATGACAACTTTGCTACATTTGGAAGGTTTTGTTATGGAGTTACTGTAATTCTGACCTTCCCCCTTGAATGTTTTGTGACCAGAGAGGTAAGAATTTATTACATTCTCCTTTCAACAATGTTGATATATATTAATAATATTCTCACATTATTAATACATATTGTAGCTGAATTCAATGCTTAATCTGTAATAAAAATCAGCATATCCTATCCTGCTACATGCAATGAGTATGAGGTACTAGTTGTACTGCTTAGATTCTGACAATATAATGTTGTATTACATTTATTATAATATTATCCAATATTATAATAATTACTTAATAATATCAGGACTTCTTAAAATTCCAAGTTTGGCATAAATGCCAGTGGTGTTGTTATATTGAGAATAGGCAAAAATAGCATATTTATCATGCTTACTAGTTGTGCTTTGTGAAAGTATCTCCATCTAGAAAATCCATCTGTTCAATAAATAATTGTGAGTGGGTTTTATTCTATAGTGGACAAATGAGAAGAAAGTAAGAATACCCTAAATCCTGCAGGTATAACTAAGTCAGTCTTACAAGTGTTTTGCAATTTTAGTAATGCTTCTTATGATTTATTTTTGGAAGTGGGTGAAGATGTTTTCTTGAAGCAAGATAGGTAAAGTTCAATCAGTATATTCTCACCCATTCTTTTAGTTTCCTAAGGTTAGAAGATTTGGAATAAGCTGTTTGTTAACATAAAGAGCAAAATCAAGGTTTAAAATTGTGGTTCTGTTTCAGGTGATTGCCAATGTGTTTTTCCATGGGAACCTCTCAACAGTTTTCCATATTGTTGTGACAGTAGTTATCATTGCTGTGGCGACTGGTGTATCATTAGTGTATGATTGCCTTGGAATAGTTTTAGAGCTGAATGTAAGTGAACCTGTATACTCTTTTATTTAATAGATCACTTTTATAAAACAGAACTCTGCAAAATCCACAGCTCTACTGAAAATCTTATGTAATTTGACATAGTAGTCAGTAGAAATGTTAGCAGGAAAAAAATTATTCACTGCTTCAAAATCAGATAATTAAAGAGAAAGCAAGTTCAGGGTGTAAAGTTCATATGGTTGGGAAGGGCTTTTAGAACTGTTCTGGAGAGATGGCAAGTGGCTATGACTTACCTAATGTATTTAAACTGCAGTGGAAATAACCAAAATACTCATCCGAACTGTACTGCAGGACTGAATCTAGCATTTCTTTCTCTAATCCCTGCTTCTGATGAAGTTGGCAAATTACCAAACACTGGGGCAGATCCTAATGACTGCCTTGTGCCAAAGGGGCAAAAAACAAAGGGGGGTGGGGAGGAAGAGAGAAAGAACCAGTAGTAGTGAGACCACAGAGATAGTAACTGGAATTTTTCCCTGCTTTGGACTTAGCAAGGAGCAAAACTGAGTAATTTCATAACCTGAGTGTATGATTTTTAGGAGGAAACTGCTTTGCCAGTAAACATTCCTGTGTCTGGTATCACCTCATAGCAGAGATGGAGCTTACCAGGCAGGCCACACAAGGCACTTACTGCCTTGAACCAGTTTTAACACAAGTGTATGTAACTTTTTTGGTTAGCTGGAACTTCCATGTAGTCTACTTGAGTCCTAGACTACTAGTCAGCAAAGTAGGTTTACCAGATTAAGTCAGTCTGGTTTGGCACAGAATGTACATTTAATCAAAGGGAATATTAAAAAAAAAAAAAAAAGTCTTCATTTATCATAAAATCATAGAATGGTTTTGTTTGGAAGGGACCTTAAAGATCATCTAGTTCCAACCCCCCTGCCATGGGCAGGGACACCTTCCACTAGACCAGGTTGCACAAAGCCCCATCCAACCTGGCCTTGAACACTTCCAGGGACGGGGTATCAACCACCTCTCTGGGCAACCTGTTCCAGTGCCTCACCACCTGCACAGTGAAGAACTTCCTTACATCTAATCTAAATCTACCCTCTTTCAGTTTAAAGCCATTACCCTTGTCCTATCACTACATGCCCTTGTAAAAAGTCCCTCCCCATCTTTCCTGTAGGCCCCCTTTAAGTACTGGAAGGTTGCTATAAGGTCTCCCCAGAGCCTTCTCTTCTCCAGGCTGAACAACCCCAACTCTCTCAGTCTGTCCTCACAGGGGAGGTGCTCCAGCCCTCTGATCATCTTCATGGCCCTCCTCTGGACTCACTCCAACAGGTCCATTTCCTTCTTATGTTGGGGGCCCCAGAGCTGAACGCAATACTGCAGCTGGGGTCTCACAAGAGCAGAGTAGAGTGGGAGAATCACCTTCCTCTACCTGCTGGTCATGCTTCTTTTGATGCAGCCCAGGATACGGTTGGCTTTCTGGGCTGCGAGCACATATTGCTGGGTCATGTTGAGCTTCTTGACAACCAATACCCCCAAGTCCTTCTCCTCAGGGCTGCTCTCCATCCGTTCTCCACCCAGCCTGTATTTGTGCTTGGGATTGGCCCGACCCATGTGCAGGACCTTGCACTTGGCCTTGTTGAACTTCAACAGTCTTGATATCCACCAGTAGAGAAATATGAATAGGCAGTCTCTATATGTGAAAATAAGATGATCTGTCTTCTCAGAAGGCTTTCTGTCCAGCAGAAGAGCTTTTGGCTCTTCACCACAGAGACCATTGGCTGCTGTTTCTCTGACTCTGCTTACTTTTTTCCTGCTTTCTGGTTTTAAAACAAAACACAAGCCATTGTGTTTGCCCTGGGATAATTCCCCAAGGAAACCATTCAGTCATACAGGTATCAAGGGCAGGGTCCACAGATTTTGCTGTGCTATTCTTTTACTGGCTTGCTGGTTTCTGTTGCTTCACATACTTAAGAGTCTCAGTTTTTATGAAGAAGATACTTTGTGCATGTGCCTATTTTTGATGTCTGTACTGTTCATTGTTAACAGGTTCTACCACAAAAATATACAAAAGTTTGTACAAACAATGATGCAAAGATATTCAGCAGGCTGGATTACTACCTCGCCATAATTAAGTTGAAACATAGTGTTTGTTAAGTATGTGACAAAGTAAATGTTCAACATTTTCTGCATAAAAATGCTTTCTTTTGGCATGTAGGTCATGTTAATCTGCTGTGGCTTTACTATAAAAAGCATTTAAGAAGGTGCTTTTTATCTGTCCCTATCTAAGAGAGCATTTAAAGAGGAGCTGAATTTTTAGTAAGAGAGGAGGTTCTACTCTCTCAAAGGGAGCTTTGCTTTCATAGTGAAGTCAACCTAAATCAGGTAATAAATGTAGAAATTGATCAGAATTCTTTGAACTGCTACATGATGTTTCCACTTTTTTTTTTTTTTTGGCAGTATTATATCTAGACTCCTACATGGAACAATCTTAAATATTTTAAGTCAGTTACAGTATTGCAGAACTATTATGTTTGGACTTTTACTGTACTTCTATAGCTGAGAAACTTCTGGTAATCAGATTTAATAGTACCTTCAACATAAAAATATTCTGTATCAACAAAGCAAAAGCATTTAAATAAATCTGAACTTTTTCAAATATTTTTACAGATATTTTTGTAAGTTATTTGTGACTTTGAAAAGAAAGTTTACCATATAGTAACACTGGAAAAGGCCTCTGTTCTCTGGCTTTACTGTTGCATCAACCTAATCACAACCATTTTAAAATTTAGGTTTTTCATTTTCACATCTAAATATACATGCTTATGAGGGTTTTTTCTATTGTTGTTTCCCACACACAGGGAGTTCTGAGTGCTACCCCACTTGTTTTTATCATCCCAACAGCGTGTTATCTAAGGCTGTCCAAAGAACGATGGAACCATTCAGATAACCTCATATCCTGCCTGATTCTTGCTGTCGGTGTGCTAGTGATGACAGTTGGGTTTGTTTTGACTATCTTGCATCCCCAGGAATGTAGCCATGGAAAAGAAATGTTCTATTGCTTCCCTAGTAATGTTTCTTTTCACAACAGTACACTTGCACCATAGGTAGCACATCAATCTCCAGACTAGATCAGGTACCTCTCGCAGCAAGCCATACATGCCAGTTTAAAGGAGAGTGGAACAAAGAGCTTTCATTTTGATAGGCACTAAGAATTTTAAACTGTATAACTGTATTTACACACTTGGTTTTATGCTGCCATCCTTTTCCCAATAAGACTTAAGTTTTAGCTGTTGAAACAGAAATTCTCAGAGGTGCCTTTCAGTAGACGTTACTTTAATAACTTGCAAACCTATCAAAAAAGGCTGCATTTTTTTTTAACTTAGTCTGCAGTGTTGTTTAAAAGCTATAAATGAAATGTTTAGGAATGTAAACATCTCCCATGTTTTATTGCTGTCATTTAGTTTTTATTAATTTTATAATCTTTTAATGTATATTTATTAGTACACTATATTATGGGGGTTTTTTGAAGGCCTGAAAAAAGAAGTATGTCTGGGTTTCTCTCTGTGTATTAAACTACTGCTGTTAAATTGAAAGACCCCTATTAATTCTGTCTTTGATTTTGCAATAACTGTCCTTTAGTGCTGAAAGCATCCCTTGTACTGGCTCTTGAGTCAAGGGCAATTTTGTATTCTGACTGAACTGTAACTGATACAATTCAACTGTAACTGTTACAATTTGTGGTCTTCTAATTAAAAGATATTGCATGAATAAATCCACACAGGTGAATTTAAAAAGATTCAAGTAAATGGTATTTGTAAAAATTTCAAGATTGACAGAGAAGAAAATGACGTATGTAACAAACACAGCTTAATTCTTACATTTATAACCCTATTTACTATTTCTGAAACTGGATTGAAACATTGCAATATGCCAGGCATGTGCAGCTTGAGCAAATTCTCTAAGAAAGTATTCTAAAATTGGTTATCATTCTAGTCCTCTGATTCTTTTAATACATGGCTGTTGATTTTGTCATGGTTTGTTGAATTTTGGTGATTTGTTATGTTCTCCAAAGTTCATTTAACATTAAGGATTCATGTATATGTATGTTAAGATATACATCTGCATATATAAAAATACATGCACACACATGCCTAAAGAATATGAGTAATTAGAAGTTGAGAATTAGTAATATAAGTATCCTCTGTATCAGTACTGGGATTTTGAAAATGTTTTGTTATCAAATCGAACTGTATACTTTGAATTAGTTTTTGCATTATTGTGGTCATTGTGGTTCCTTTTGCCAACCATTCCTTGACAACTATATGTATAATGCTACTCCATTTTTTATGCTGCTAAATGAGGTGGTGATGGTTTTTGTCTACAGTTCATCCTGCATGACAATGCTATTTCATTCAAGACTTCTAGCTAAAAAGATCTTTAAGTAAGGGTAGCTAGTCAGTGATAATACTCATAAGAATAACACACTTTTTAAAAGCAGTGCTTTCATAATAAATGTTTTAAGTATTGTTGGGGTTTTTTTGAGTCTTATTGTGCTTTAATTTCCCTACATAGAGTCAACTTTGAGGGTGTAAATTTATCTGTTGTCCAGCTACCTGGTACTGTTGACAGAGAATATTTTTCACCAGTTTAGATCCAGCAATAGCTGATTTTGTCTTAGCTGTGAGTGAATAGTTGCTGGATAGATTCCCCTTCTTCTATGCCAAATGGAGTTAAATAATATTTCCTCGTGACAGCTAATGAGATCTTTCTGATGAATCAGAAATCTCTCATGTGTTTTTCTGTTTTTTTCAAAATTTTATTTTTAATTTCTTTTGTTGAAGTATGTTACCCTGTTTCAAGTATTAACTAGAAGCTGTTCTTGCTTTAGAAGGTCAATGGAATAATTTACAGGATGCATTGTAGTATTACCTGTTCAACATAAAGATTCTACTGAGGCTGCGTCAATATTAAGTCATGCTTACATGTCCTTTATGAAGGACAAGTCTTTCTATGCCTTTCTACTTTATAAATGCAGATTTAAAGAAAATTTGTTTCATGATGCTTTGTAATTTGAAAAGTGTAAAGTCTGAGGTAGTAATGGTCAGTTAAATGTTTTCATTGTCGATAAAGCTTCTTTTGCTCTTAAAAGTTTCTTTTGCCAAAATTAATTGCATTCATGTAATCATATGCTCAGTGGTTTGCATTCATGAATTTGCCAGGTGGCGATGGGGCTCTCCCAACCATAAGTATACTGAAAAAGGGAAGTCAGACATCATGGATGCCAGAATTTAAAGTTAACTGCTATTTGGCTAATGGCTTTATAGAAGCTATGGTTCCTTCCTTTCCAGTATTACATAGTGTAACTTACCTTTATTGAAATGGCAAATAACAATAACATGCTATATGCTTTCTTAGGACCTAGGAGGTCTGAATACAGAAAGAAGCACCTTTTTATTTCATAATAAAAATTGTGATAGCCAATGTTTTTTGGAAACAGTTAAGAGTCCCCAAAATACAATGTAGCTATGACCCAAGCAATACAGAAAGCATTTAAGGATATAAAAATAAAGCTGTTATAAATATGACAGTAGGTAAGTCTTGATGCAACAGAAAAGAAAGATATGTAAACTTAAAAGGAAACATTACAGCAGAGAAAGTACAACCACACTAAGGAATTACTTGCAAATATACTTAATTTAAGCTTCAAACAGAAGTGTCTTTCTGTGACTAAAAAAGTAAGGCAGAAGCAGCAATTTACAATCTGGTAGTTTTAATGGAGCTCACTGACAGTGAATGAAAACTAGTTACTACCTGTGTTATACTATTGGACAGACTTTTGCACTGGAGAGTATACTTTAGATTTGTAGTTATAAAGCAGGTTTGGTTGGTAAGCTAGAGGTATTTAGCATTGCTTAACTACAGAACAAATCATAACCTCTGGCTCTTTATTTTTCAGTATCATAAAATTTTCTTTTTCATCTCAGTATCTTTTCAGTTTTTTATTTTTTGGCTTGATGACAGTGCAGGCTGGGGTTTGTTCTAGCTTTGTAAAATCCATTGGGATGCTCTCACTGGCCTCAGCACGTGCAGGATCTCACCAGTATCATAGTACTTCAAGCAGAGGAGTGCTGTGCACAAAAGTGGAAGGAGTGCTGAAAGCAGCAGTATCCCCAACTCCAAATGCTCTTGGTGACAGGATTTCACGAAGTCTGGGTGGAGGGAGAACAGCAATGTTTCACAAGCACTTGCTGGCAGGTTTTTCACATCAAAAGCTGGTAGTGTGACTCACTATTTCTTCCAAGTTCCTTTCCAGCTGAGAAGGCATTTCAGGACACCAGATGTACAATTACCATTCTTACAGGAGCTAAGCAGACAGTTTCTGACTTTCTAGAGCAGTGTGCTGCTTAATCAATCACAGACTTCTGCACATTCACAAAATACTTTCTCCAGAAAGTTTGGCAGATGAGCAAACCCCATGTACTACCATAGATTCCCTAGAGAATTTTCCTTCCTTCTCAAGGTTCTCTATGGAGGGGGGCAGAATGGCTCAGCTTTGCTAAATGGACATAATTCTATATATTTTTTCACACACAAAATCTTTATATCTCCTATCACACACATTATCTGGATCCAATACGGGAAGGATATTTATCAATTTAGTAGATAAACTGTTTAGTTATTTGTGACTCAGTAGCAAACAAAACTTAAATGTAGTGTGAGGATTTACTCGGATTCTGTCTGGAAAGACAAAAAAGTGGCAGACTAAACAAATGTATCGTGAGTGCAAAGCATGAGATTGAACACATTCCCATAGCAGGAAGGAGGGGAAAAATGAAAAAACAAACATAATGCACAGAAGGTTTATATTTTTATAGTAGTTATGTAACATGGAGATCTAATTTTAAAAATTAATTCTTCAGTTTCAGCCTAGAAACAGTATTGCAACATTTGTTGTTTGGATATTTTTTTTAGAATTGGCATAAATTCTACAAAGAAAGAATTTGAATTCAGTGAAGGCCAGTGAAGGAAATAAGTAGAAGCTTTCCAGTTTCTGTCATTTAGTACTATTGGAGAAGATGATTCAGGTACGTGCTTATTACAAATTCAACATATAACTCAAAACTCTTCAGGGAGAGAAGTTGGATTATTTGATTATTCCTCTTTCTGCTTATTTTTCTGTTCCCTTCTAGCTAAATGTTGATTCTAGGTGCTTCATAAGACAATACCATATGGGAAAGCTATAGTTGCTGTATAGAATTCCAAAATCACATGCAGCAGGCATTCAAGAAAACTTTGGGAAGGTCTGAATTTTCACATGTGGTTTCCTAAAGGAGACAGGCGATGGCCACTAAACACTGGAAACTCCCAGTAAAATTCATGGACTTACTGAATTCATACAAGTACTGAAGTAATGAGCTGAAGACAAAAAAAGGAAATTAGAAACATAAGTGAAAATGACCATTAGACACTGTAGGAATAAATTACAGATGTCATTCTGTAAAACCTGCTTTAGGTGGGATCATGCAAATTAGCTTTCAGTGGGAAGCTTATGTCTGCCACAAGCAATACACTTGGCAGACTCAGCTGTAGCAAATATAAAGCTCTATACTGAAATAATTCCACACAGCCTCCTCCACTTGCCTCCTATTTTCCTTTGACTTTTCAGCAGTGTCCTTTGTCTTGACGGTGGCAGAAAACCTGACAGTGGTGATATTGCTATCTTGCCAAGACTGACTGACTGAGATTTTGTGGTTGTACATTGGACACATCTCTCGTGACTTTTGTTTCTAGAGGCAGGGGCTTTTTTTTTTTCTGTGTTCATATACTGCTTAGTACAGTGGCTTCTGATTGATGACAGGGCCTCCTAGTGCTGTATAACATAAACAGTAATCATTATACTTTGGCCATATTGTGCTATTTCTCTATTATATTTTATCCCTATCACAAATGAGTAACATAAGTTACTGGGTGACAGAGGGTCCCTTTGCTTTTATTTTTGGTTCAAATATTTTTGGGGGAAAAAAAGGCTTAGAAAATGTTTCCATACTTGGTTCACTGCATTTTGTGTCCTGGTTCAAAACTTTTTTTGGGGAAAAAAGGCTTA